CTAGGAAGAGGCACTGGCAAAGCACTCCGAAACATCTGCCTGAAAACTGCAGGGACTCGTCCAGGCAGTCGACTGCAGAATCGGTCACGATTGAAGTGACAAGATAAAAAAAAAAAAAAAAAGCAAAAAGCAAGAGGGAACTGAAAATAGGGCCCACAGACAGAGATAATAGAAAATAAAGTTATATAGATTTTCTCTTCCAAGTCACAGAAGGCATTAATCCACAGACAGATATTTCCCACACCAAACAGAAGAAAAAGATGTTAATCCTGTCCAAAATGATATACTGTGAGGTGATATAAAAACCTTAAAAGTAGTTCCAGGTTGTCATTCTTTTACAGCCAGCACAGCCCACGTTACTCTAAGGATGAAAATAGCAAAGCAGAGGAAAGACTGGGCTGACACACACAAAGTGTTAATCTAGACTACAGGCTGTAGAAAATTATGTAGAAAACTGCCCATGCCATACCTAGTTCATCTGATAACAACAACAGCTAAGTTTGCTCCCTACCTGCATTTCTGTCACCTTTAGATTCAGTTCACGCACAGTCTCCAGCAACTTGCTTTTGTTTCTAAGTTCTGTCACCCGTCTGCATCTGTTCATAGGGCTGTAGAATCAAACATATTAGTGATGCATCATGGATGGCAGTTTTGCTTGTGTTTAATATCAGATCAAGAACACCGATGGAAAAGAGGAATATACAGAAATTATTAAAATTTAAGATATTCATCACATAATGTCTTAATCCAGAAGCACAACTATTTGATCAGCCTATATCAGCATCTACTTAATATTCATTTATATACAAGGTTTATAGGCTGCTCCAATCAACCAACTTTGAGCAGTGTCTGGAAACTAAGTGTATATTCACACTAATATTACCTGATGGGCTGTCTCATCCCCATTACATTGAGCTGTCCCATCCGGTCAGGCAGAGAAGGTATGTTATGGACCCCGTTAATGAAAGAATGTTGACTGACGGGGCCCAGAAGGAGAGCCTTCTCTACCGTTACCCACGCCCTATGGAATACTCTTCCCCCAGAGGTGAGGCGGGCCCCCACTCTCCCAGCCTTACGAAAAGGGTTGAAGACCTGGCTCTGCCAACTCGCGTGGGGAGAGAGGAGGGGCAACCAACCCTGGGGATGGCTGGCACCTTGAAGATGCTCTTGCAACCTTTATTCACTATCAGTATCTTGGAAGCCATTATTTTTGCACGAACATGGTTTTTTATTGTATTTTTAATGTATTTTTATTAATATTTATTCTTGTGTCACTGTAAACTGCCCAGAATCACTTTTGAGGGAAATAGGCGGTGACTAAATTTGAAATATAAATAAATAAAATAAATAATGCAAATCTACATGGTACAAATTCTACAGTACCAACCAGTATAGTATACTTAAACTGTGTGACTTTTTCATAATTTATTTTATGTTTTGCAAATATTTTACACAATGAATGCTGCTCTTACAGCAGTTTGCTTTTCCAGAATAAAATACAAATTTCAATAATTTAAGTTAAACGCATTCTTGCAAAGAATTTGTGGTTTATAAAATATTTCAGAGTCCAGTGTTTGCGCTCTAGAGTATCCTTACTCTCTTATTCATGATATGGGCTTTTCCAATCTGGGTAAAACTGTTCTATTCTCAAAACAGACTGCTCCAATTTCTGTCAGAATAGTTTGTTTTGAGGTTGAAATATTTCCAGTAAGGCTGGGACGGTATTCTCAAATCAAAAGGGGACATTTGAAATTTGGAACAAATGTTTTACAGACCATCCTAAGGAATTCTGCCACAACGTGGGAGGGCAGAAAAACAAACCAGAATTGGATATTTTGCTTGCAAGTACTCACGATCGTGTAATTGTTGGCGCTCCTTTCTTGGGAGGGGGTGGCAGTGCTGCTTTTTTCCCTGTCTTCATGAGTCTTAATATAAGAGGAACAAATAGACATTGCAACAATGTAAGGATTGTAAATCTAAACATCGTAGTACAACAAACACTACAGAGAACAAGAGAGAGCAAATAAAGCATTTTGATTAAGGATGTTAATTTTAGTCTCTCTGGCATGTTGGGCCAAATTTCTTTTTTGGTGGGAGGGAAGAAGAGAAGCTGCAAGTTCCCCCTCTTGAAAGGGAAGGTATATGGAACTGGTGATATATGAAATGGAGCTGCCACAGGAGTAGATAGTTCTGCTGCCATAGCAAAAGTACATATTGTCCTTTACCTTTGATTTGGGTCTTTGAAGGCAACACATATGGCAGGATTGTTTGCACCAAAAGGGAAAACAGGATCTTTCAGGGGCTCCGAGTCTATCCCTTTGTTCTGGTTTTGCTGCTTCGAATAATCACAGAGCTGCATATCTGCAAATAAGGCAAATTTGGGCAAATAGTTAATCAAAGCTACTGCCCTCAGGTTAAACATTAAAAGGAAGAAGCTGAGGATAAGAAGTAACTTGAAAGGAAGGTATGACAATACCTGAGTAACAGAAAGAGCGGAATGAAATTTGGAAGTAAATGAAAAAGTTGCAGGATTTAGCAGTAACATGAATAAGGGGAACGCAGAGGAATAAAATAATTTTGATATTATGGATTAAGGTAATATACCTGGCAATATCCACCTGCCTCTCCCACCTCTCAATTCCATAGCCAAAAGGTAGCTGCTTCTGGAAGACCTGCATCCTCATGGCTATAAAAGAAGAAAAGATTGTATCTTTCTTCCCAATGCCCTGTACTCTTATTTAATTTGTACAGAGCTCTGGATAAGGCAAGAGACAACATAAAAAGCGTCTGTTGCTTCTTCCCTGCTCTAAATCCCGGTATGATTAAGAGAAGACATCACTTCTTCCTCAAGCCCATTGACAAAAGCTTGATTTAATTGATTTCTGATTTTCAACCAAGACATTTCTTCTTCTTATATTTCACAAAATTTGAAAGCCTGAATTTGAATTTCTAGCCTTTTCTCAAACATGCAAAACCAAAACCTATATTAAACCTAACACATGTGCAGAGAACCGGATGCCCTCCTGATATTTTGAATAGTACTTTCCAAAAACTCTATCCAGCTTGACAAACAGTAAATAAACATAAGGGTTGCAGTCCAAAACATTTGAGGATAACAGGATACTTACTACTTGATATGAAGTTCCACTCTCACCCGACCGGGCATTACTTTAAAGGATCAATGATGGTTTAGGTACATATTGCTCAAGTTTTGATTAAATTTTAATTCACATCAGGCTGATCTAATCTTAGGGTTAGTTAAGAAAAGCATCTGAAGTTGTCTTTACAAAGATAACACAAGGAAAAATATGTTATCCTATAATTAGAGAGAAATGATCTTAACAGCTTAACAGACCTTTTAGAACACCGGTTGTTTTGGACTGTTGGGAAGTGTAAACAGGGATCTTGGATTTCTCTGACTCCATGATATTTAAAGTCTGAAAGATATAAAGTACTGCAGATCACCAGCTGCTACAATAGCACAGTATGCATGAAGCCAAGGGGTTGCTAACAGTTTATTAGGCACAATATCCTTGTAAAGACACAGAGAGAACAACAATTCAAAGAGTTTTGCTTTTCTATATTGATTATTAGCAAGTTTATATACTGCAGGAAGCCATAATGTATTTTGTTCTGTTTTGGGATTAGAATGTGGTGTGAACCTAATTTTTATGATTTACACTGTGTCTTCCACTTTAACCAAGGTTTCTGATTTAGTGTGTTATTCAAATTCCCGATGGCCATCATTTTGGATTTCTGGAAATTCTGGAAACCAGAACAGGCTATAAAGCCCAGTTTCCAGAAACTGAAAATAGAATTTATTTTGGTTCTAGACAGAAGTACACTACAAGTCACAGTTAACTTATAGTTAACTATAAACAACAACAGGAAGTAAGATGTTGGTAGAGCTAAGTGTTAACCAAGTTTTAGTATATGTAATGAGCATTGCAAACACAACCATTATTTTAAAAATAATGCATTTTTATTTTTTACAAGAGTAGTCTACCTACATTCTATTTTGGAACAAAATAAGTATTTCTCACAGCCTTCAAAGTAATTTGCAGCAGTTTTATTTACGTCATTAACTCCTTTCTTTCCAAATCTCACTCTTATCAAAAAATAGCTGTGTTCACATTGCACACTGAACCATGGTTCACTTACTTACACCTTTATGAATAACAATGGTTAATGTACAAACTGTATTAGAGGAACACACAAGAAACCACATTCGGATGCAATGCATAAATGTAAATCTGTGTAAATAATCTATGTTTAGTTAGAAATACATCCCATTCAGTTTCATGGGATTTTAAGTACACTGAGTTTCATCTGATAGAAAGGAATGGAAAAGAAGGTTTTTCTAAACTGTGTTGAGATTGCATGCTATTCTATGAGAAACAACAACAACAACACACTTTTACAGACCAAGCAAAGATATCAAGGATCAGCATGATCCACGGTCTTTTCATATGCAAGCAACTTGTATATGAACAAAATAACTTTTAAACTTTCTAAACCGTTTTCTGGAACAGTCCTCTGTATAGCCCACTGCGGTGGTTTGCTCTCAAAGTGATGAATCAGAGTCAGGAATCCATGTGACAGAAACAGTTGCTGTAGATACAGAATTACTTAGTTTCAAATAAAGCAGAAAGCCCACCAACCAGGTACATACGCACACAATATGCACACACCATCATTCAGGTGGTACCCAAATTTGATTCCCGAAACTCCTAACCTGTGGAATACGGCACTCAGAGAAGTTCCCAGCATATCCACCAAAGGCTGTTTCTACAGCGGCGGTCCCGCCGCCGTTTGAATCAGAAAAGGCGTTTCCACTCCAGCGCAAGACAGCGCGACAGCAAAAAGCGAAGGAAAGGCTTCCATGCGCATGCGCCGAATAACCAAGCCCCCCGCCCCCCAGCCTCTAGGTTGGGACAAACTTCTTCCGCCAGGCATTCAGGCGCGTGCGCAGAATGGAAAATCAAGTTTACGTACGTGCTATGGAAGGTGGGTTACATCATTTTACTGAGTGGGTAGAGTGGGTTAGAGTGAGTCATTTAATTCTTTTGCTTTTGATTGAAGAAGAAATATTGTTCTGAAACAACGTATAATATTTTGAGGAAACGGTCTTTATTCAGGAGAAAGTCCGTACTAAATCTGTTCAGCTGCGCGACTTCGTTCTGATAACACTTGAATTGGGGAGGTTCAGAACAGCACAGGGACCAGGTCTCTTTAAAACCAGCGTTTCTCAACCTTGGCAGCTTTAGGTTGCTGGCTAGGGAATTCTGGGAGCTGAAGTCCACAGATCTTAAAGTTGCCAAGGTTGAGAAACTACTTTAAAACATCGCACCAGCAGAGTGTCTCCTGATGTGATGAACTGCATGGATCCTTAGCCGTGGGGAAGGCTGCTTTAGTGGCCTTTTAGAAGCAAAAATTGCATATGCGATGGATTTAGTGATGGGGACAGCCCTGCTGAAATTTGACCTGTTGGAATAGGATGGTAAATGGCCCCTAGCTAATTCTGCTCTAGACCTGGATTAGGCTTACTTTGCAATGAAACCATTTTTTTCCTGGTAGGCAGATGTCATAACAGGCTTCACCTGTTGAATTTCTATTTGCTACATGATTGTTCAAGTAGGAATAGTACTAAGAAAATACTAGCAATATTGGTGGAGCCCTGGATAACTTTTTTCTCACCTTGACTTTATTGTCCCCCGTTGTGAGGAGATGGGCGGGGACAAATCAAATAAATAATAAAAATAATAATAATATTTTCAGAATGCATGCTGCATTATAAATATCTCAGGTCTTAGGCTTACACTATTAAGAGGTAAAGATGTAGGAGTTCTACATCTTGTTCTACTGCTTGTTTTGAACATCTTGAATTCTTGGTATGAACCTCACATAGCTTGACTCATAATCATTTGTGTTGTTGGAAAAAAAAAAAGTAACCAAATGAAGGGCCAAGTCTGGATAGTGTCAGATATTGAATAATTTTAATCAGCTAAGTGGAACTTGCAGGCCAAAGTTTGAGAATCTCTTACTCTAACCCTTATTTACCCTTAAACTCTGCTGCTTTCTCTTCATTATGAAAAACATGATTTATAGCTCAGGCTGCCTTTAATAATTGTAGAGAAAGGATTTTAGGAGATTTAACTTTTCCCCAGAAAATGCCTATGTCACATTTTGCATTATACATGGATGTCTATGTATTTATTTCACAAAATTTATATGCCACTGCAGTCAGATTTTGGACAGTGTACAGAAACAAGGTATAAAAACATCAAATCATGTTATGTAGTACAACACCTGGAGCTGTCTACAGCAGAATCAAGCTAAAGGCTGATCTGGTCCAGCATTGTTTGTCCCACAGTGGCAAATCAGATGCATTGGGAAGGCTCCCAAGCAATAATCCTCTTCCACTATTGATCCCTGGCAGATGTATTGAACATCAATTCAAGTCAAAAGCCCCAGATGTTGGACAGAGTTACAATATCTGGGGCTTTTTAACTTGAACTGAAGGCTGGTAACATGTAAGGCAACTGCTCTAGATCCCTAAGAGTTTTGATTGTCATTTTCTTTAATTTTTCCAGCTCTGCAATGTCCATTTTACAGTGCAGTGATCAGAATGTTATATATTATTTCAAGTGTAATGTCACAACTGATTTATATAAGGACAGTGTTTTAGCAGCAGTTTTATTTTCAGTTCCTTTTCTATTTCTTATCATTCTAAGTATGAAAGTAGCTTTCCTTACAGCACCAACACATTGGATTTTTATTTTTACCATGACTCCAGCTCTCTGCTGATCAATCAGTGTTCTGTTTGTACCAAGCTACATTTGCCATTCACCCAAATTTGGAAAATCATTTTGGAGCTCTGCGCAATTCTATTTTGATTTCACTACCTGAACATCTTGGTATGTTCAACAAACTTGGCCATCTCACTGCTTATTCAAAATCCATTTATAAACATCTTAAAATGCATGGTCCCAACACTGATCCCCGGATTGTTCCAATTTTATTATTTTATTTTTATTTTATTATTAAATTTCTCACCCGCCCATCTCCCCCCAATGGGGGAACTCTGGGCGACTCACAACAAACATTAAAAACATAAATATATATACGTACATAAAACATCAATT